CTCAGTTCAGTGATCGACATGCTGTAGTTCTAGCTGCCACTTATTATATTTTATTGTTGTTAATATTTAACAAATGATGCATTGCAAGCAGCTGAAGCTGAAGTCGAAGCTTAAAAGTTGAGGCTGAGACTGAGCTGCGCTTCATGTCAGAGGCAAGACAATGGCCAATGGACAGGCTTGGCTTTGAGGATGGAGCCAATGCAGCCGGCATTGTGGGCCTGCGGCTAACTTATTGCTATCGCACAATCTGTGGCAACTAATAGGAAGTTGGGGCACAGAGCAATGCAAAGAGAAAAATAAAAAGCGAAGAGGGATAAAACAACTTGCAGCACTTTTCATTGGCATTGTGAAAGCCTTGGTCAGCAATTATCTAAGTCGAGGCATTGTTCGTACCGCCGATCTTTGACTTTGACTAATTTGCAAAAAGCAAGCAGCATGCAGCATGCAGCATGCCCCATGCAACCGCGTTGCCTGTCATCTGTCATCTGGAACTCTGTGGCAAGGATACGTAAATCTTGACAAGCGGCAGCAATAAATTCTAATGAGCAAATCGCAAAAGGAAATGCAACGTTCTCGTTTCTTTTTTTCATATACCCTGTAGCTATTGGCAGTGACTGAGGAGGGTAAATAGGTTTTGCAAATGACTTATACATACCGATCTATGGGGAATATATTTGCCTCTAAATGTGATATATATAGGCACGGAAGTATTCTGAGTCTGTTCTCAATACGTAGTACAGGATACATTCTAGTCGAGCACTTCCTAGCGCTCGAGCACTCTAAGTTATCTTGCCTTTGCAGTTTGCTGTTTGCTCTTGGCTCAGGATGTTGTCGTAGGCAGATTTATGTGGCAGGCGCGGCAGCTGTGAATGCCATTTGTCCAATTAGTCAGCGACTAGACTCGAACGCCAAATAGAGCCAGGGCAGGGCTACGAGGAAGAGGCAGAGGCAGAGGCAGCGAGACATATGCATGTAGAGGGCGACTTCGCTTGCAACTTGTTAAATTTAGCGCATTACAATGGATTCATAAATTTTCGCCTCTCAATTGCTGATTGCTAATCTTTGGATGATGTCATGTCGACGCTCAATTCTAAAAACTACAGCTAAAAATAAAAAAGAAACAACAAAAAATTATATAAATAATCAGTTTTCGTTGCGGTCAATCGACGCAGCGGTGTTTCGTGTTTTGACTTTATTTCATTTTGGATTTTGTTCTCTTTTTTGCCAATGGTTGTTTGGCTGATTTTTGCACGTCACCTCATTTTTTTTTAGATAAGCGTAAAAAGTGTGTGCGCCAATCAATTTAAAATATATGTCTGTATACAGGTATATATATAGAGATATATAAAATAAACGCAAATCGAACCAAACACAAATAAATTAAAGTCGAAAAAACGATTTGTCTATGGCCCAGTAAACAGCAACAAAAGGCAAAGTCGGCCCAAGTCTAGAATATATATTTATATATATATATATAAATATCTCGCATATATAGCATTGGAGCATGGCGTCATTTCCCTATATCATTTAAAATCAATATTAATTCAGCTTGTGTTGTGAAATCAAAGTTCGATATAACAATATATCTATATATATCTAGTACACATATTAAGTATACGCATATCTATATATCTGTCTATATAGTACATATAGTACATATATCAAGCATACGCACTGCGAGCTGACGCATCATTTTCTATTTGCTTAAGTCATTTACATAGATTGGCGAAACTTTTAAGTTTTTGTATTTTTTATTGTTGAGGAAGGTTTCCAATCTCAATTAGCATGCCACATTTTGTGGTCAGTCTTGGGGTCAATTAACCCTTGGGCAGCGCGGCCCCTGATTGGAAAGCAAAAGTGTGAGCCATTCATCAAGATCACGTTTCCCAGAGGCGAACGAAAAAGAATTTGCCATAAACAAAAAAAAAACAATTTTTCTGCCAAATAAACCATGGAGTCAATTAATTTTATAGATTTCATTAGCTTATATGGTTAACTAATATGGCTTGCTTAGCTCTTTGAGCCATGCTTTTTATTAGTTTTCAGTGTGCTTTAGCTTTGCCTATAGTTTATAAAAAAGTTTATAATATTTTCAGTTTACATCTTCAAATACTTGCATTTTTTTTTTAATATATTTTCTTTTTTTTTTATTATTTTTTTATGTGTCAATTGATTTTTTTATATTTATTTTATTTTTATAGTTATTATTAGTATTTTTTATGCATTTTTAAATGATTTTCCTTTACATATATTACATTTAATACATTTATATTTAAAAGTATTTATTTTTAAAAATAGTTTTTAATTAGTTTTCACTCTCTTTTACCATTTATTGCTTCGTATTTTATTACGTGGCCATATAAATATTATTTCCGATTTGTTTGTTTAAGCATAGCGAATTTTTAATTTTTTAGGCTCACATTTTCTCCCCACCAAAAAAATGATTATGCTCGTTTGCCTTAACTGTGTCAATAGACGACTTTTATGTGTTTGGCACTCGCTCGACCATTCAACAAAAAATAAATAAAAATATCAAAGCCCAATGCGAAATTCAATTTGATTAAAAATCTTGTCATGCTTCACTCAAAAAATCAACAACGTCAAAGAAGAAAAAAACTATTAAAAAAATTTGCATAGAGCTGTGAATGAATATTCGCATGTAAAAAAGATAAATAAATATAAGGAAAAATTTATTTAAATAAATATTACAAGCGAGTCGATATAGTTTTTGGTCAACAACTGGCACTACCTGAGGTTATTTACGATTTCTTTTGTAGGCAAATACTCAGCTCGCTTTTAATTGCCGGCGAATGCTTACATAAAAGTCTAGAGGAAATAGTTTGTCACACATAATTTTAATAAATATCACGCATTAGCAATTCCAAAAAGAGCTTTTCTGATGTTCCATATTATTTCAGTTGATTCAGCGTTTGCCGCCAGTCAGTCTCAAAAATAACATTTTCCTCATTTAATACACGCGAAAAGTGATAAATAGAGCAACTCGAGCGATAAGCAGAGAGCCGGCTCCGTATGACGAAGCTCTCAGCCAGACGGCTTGGTTCCACTTCTGAAAGGTCTTGCTCCCTCCTGTCTCAAATCATTTTGTTTGCCTGCCCATTGGGCGAGTCATCGACGTGTGACTAGACTATGCGAATTATTGTTATTACTCAACTGCAAATTGCAGAATGCAACAAACAATCTAAAGTACACTGTTGCTAAAGCTTAGACATTTATTTTTAGATGCTTGACTCTAAAGTTACATATTCAAGTTGTATTTGTTGAGGCATCCCTTAAACAGCTTTGTATATAATCAACAGCTTGAGATTATTATTGCTATTATATACTATACTATTACTATAAACATATTCATATGTAAATACTGCGCTGTATTAGAATTTCTAATATAATTTAAAATATATGTTTGCTTAATGAGTTAATTCGTATTGACTTTTTAAAACAAATATTTAATTTAATCTCACTTGCAAAAGACTTAGCTCAGAATCAACTTCAGAGTGATGAGCTCTTGATTCGAATGAAATCTGTTAACAATTAGCCATTTCTTCAAGTTCAGTTCAGTTGCATTAAAATTAAAGTGACTTTACAAGCAAACCTCGTTTCAGACACAACTTTAAGTTACTTTATATTGCCTTACTTAACTTACAAAAGAAAACAATTTTCTGTGGCAATTAGAGTTATATATATTGTAAATAAATATATGATATATAGCATGTAAAATCTTACATTTATTTTTCTTAAAGAATTATCTTGCTATTCTCTTATTATATATATTAATATTAAATATAATATAAACGTATTTATAATATATATATAATTGCTGTCCTTAGTCCAAGCTTGACTAAGCTCTTCGTGTTTGATATGTGTTCTGTATTCTATTATAGTTCACACATATCCTATCCTATAATACTACTATGCATAACAATGGACTATGTGCTTAGCCATATTCTACTCTCTTATTCCCGGCTCTGCTGCTCCCTTCTCAGTTTCACTCGCATAGTTTGCTATTTTCTGCTGACTTGACTGCTGCTGCATGTTTTCTATTCTTTTTGGGGCTCGCCCTACACAAAGTCATTGGCCATTCATTGGCTGGCAGCTTTTAATTTGCCAAATGGCCTCTGGGTGCAGCGTCAAAAGTTATGAAAGACAAGAACCTTTGGGGCACGCGATGTAGCTGTTGCTTTCCTTATTGCTGTTGTTGTTGCTGTTGGGGGTGTGTCTCGACAGAGTTGGGAGCAGCTCTAGCGCTGGCTGTGGCTACTCCTCTGCTGCGTTGATTCCCTTTTGGCATGGGCGTGGCATGGCCGCAAACGGGGCGTATGTGTAATCTTTACCCGGATAAGCGCTGGCCAAATGATTTCTTTGGCTGCGGCTGCATTTTCTTATATTTCTTCTTTCATTTTCACACATTAAGCAAGCGTCGACACACATAATTCCATGTTGTCCGGTAATTGTTCTGTAAATGCACAAATAATTACTTTCAATGCGCCAATAAAAAACGTAAACAGACAAGACAGACGGACAGCCAGACGTGATTGTGGATCGCAGCAGGAGCTGAACCCAACTAAGTCGGAGCTGAGCTCAAGATTTGATCAATCAAGCGCTTGGCCATGGCAATCAGCGGCTTGAAAACTGAAAGCAGCCCGGTGAAAAGTAGGTGACCAGCCGTCGAAGCAGACGACAACATCATCAGCAGCTCAGCATCAGCATCATCACCATCAGTTGCAGCAGCAGCAGCAACAGCTTCTTTGTGGCAATCATGTCAGCCAACTTTCAATGCAACCGTCACTCACAAAAATGTTCTATGCCCCGCTGTGGCATCTGCATCTTTCTCTTTTGTTGCCTCAGCCCCAAAGTCCGGGCCATAAACAACTTTTACTGCGTAGCTCGGTAGTCTTACTTACTTTTGCTTTAATTATAATTGCCTGAACTCTGTTTTTTCTTCTTTCTTTTACAACCTACTCTTCGTCTGCCTCTTCTTTCAGATTGATGACGCAGCCATTCAGGTGTACAAGGATGGCGACTTTGGCGCTTATCTGGATCTGGAATCATCGCTGGCTGAACAGACCGAGGAAATTGAGGGGCTGCAAGCCAGGTAAGCAGGCAAACGCCCACAGCTTCTAATGAGACGCACACACACACACCTGAAGTCACCCACACACCTTTAATAGGCATTCATTTATGGTTTCAATGTGTGCATAAAGGCGATTTTCACTTTTTTGTGGCACGCGCTTACCTTGAACCCATTTAAGTGGGAAAGCTCTGGCTCTTACTCAGGCTCTGGGTTTCTGGGGCAGCTGCTCGTGGGTGGCAAGGCACTTGTGAGCCTTTCACCACACACAGACACACACAGAAACACACTCGCTTGCACACCTAGGCGGCCGCCTTTTTCCATTCGCTAATAAAGATATTGGCGGTTGGCGGTTGGCGGCTGTCAGGCTCTGGCCATAAAAAATGTCGCTATCTGTGGCACAGGAAACAGCGCGTCGGCTGACTACCTGGCTAACTGCTTTGGTTGACTACCTGGCCACATGCCTGCCAGTTGCCAGTTCCCAGTTGCACAGTTGTTGCTCACTCCGCCAGACATCAGGCATTTGCATGTGCCTCTGTGCGGCATCGTCAACATCTCACGTACGTGCAACTTGTTGCCATTTTTTCGTTTTTTCCCCTCTTTTTTATTTCGGCTGCAACTCATTTGCATTGCAGCAACAAAAGGCTTAAGTGTATAAACGTAGGCAGTCATATTTTGGCTTAGTTACACACATACATAGATTCATGTATGTAGCTTATAGTTCCCATAGCTGAGATCGGGCCTGATTCTAGTCTGGCCGTCAGTTTGGTATGCGCTGCATGATCTTTAGCGGCATGCAGCCAACTGAAGTGGGTAGCAGACACACGCTCTTAACTGATTAAAAACTATTCACAGACATCAAGTTTTTTATGTTTATTATGTCATATACAGGAATTAGAATGAGTGCAGAGCCATGAGCCATAAGAGTGAATATGAATTGAAAATGGAAGTCTTTAAGAGAACATCATGTGAAGGGAAATGGAAATAATATCACTTCTAATAGGATTTGTAGAAAGCGATGTCGATTACTCACACAACTAACGGTTGCCACAAGAATATAATACAAATTGAAACGGGAAATGAGAGGTAGAAGGAGAGAAATATTGAATAATAGCAATGTGACAGTTAATCGATTAACTAAGAAGGCTTTAAGTTGCAAAGATTATTACACATAAATACTTGCAGTACTGTAAGTTATCGATAAACAGTAGTTATCGACAGTGTTAAATGAGCTTTATTTTCTAGCATTTATTTAGGTAAGCTTTCAATTAATTGTAATTGAGAATTTAACATGTATGTAAAATGTATCGATGTCATCAACTATCGATAGCTATAAATTATGCCTTTGCCGTACAGTTTTTAATATATTTTTTGAACTGTTATACAAAAAGATTTAATGAAAATCTAATTACATTTTACAGTGCAGTGAAATTCAAATTTACTACAAAGTTATCGTTAGTCCAACATATCGATATACGTACGAAAACCTAATGCATTTATATGAGTGCATTTGCCTCAGCCTTCTTACTTATTAGCGATTCAGTTTCTGATCACTCATCAGTTGAGCAAAATCTAAAAGATTTCTGTCAAAATTATCGCTTGCAAAATTTATCGATACTTTAGCTGTGGGATCATATTAGTTTTTAAAATATATCTGCCCACATATTCGCCTATGCCCTGCCTATGTGTCAGAGTATCTCGTTGGTTTTTTTGTCTTTGGTTGCCCATCGACTGGCCCAGGAACGTGATGTCAGCTCCGCGATCAGCGATCCAAAGTAACTGACGAACGCGTCAGGCCATGGGCCAAGCTCAGTAGCTGGGAGCCAGCTACTCTTTGGCCATGATGCCAAGTCAGGCAGAGCTCAAATAATGGGATTAATGTAAGCAAGGCGTGCACAGAGAACCTGTCAGCGGGCGACAGGTAGGAAGGAGGGAAGGCAGTTACTTGGTAGTGTCGTGTCTATTTCTGACTTTCACTGGCTGCTTGGCGATCCTTGAGCATTATAAAATTATAATGTGTATGTCGCCGGGCCAGTTAGCGTTCTAGCACTCCAGTTGATGGCGCCAATGAGTGAGTGAGGGGTAGCTGGAGCTGGTTAGGTCTGGCCACTAATCATGCTTATCGTATTAGTCATGGAAGCGCGCTCGCATGCAAATCATTCGCCTCACTACGCATCAAAATTCCGCAGCAGGCACGGGGCCCGCATGGGTCGATGGCTTGTTGTTGGCTTGTCAATCTGCAACTGAGTCCACAGCCAAAGACACTTGAGTAACAGCCACACACACACACACACACACGCAGACGGAACCACAGAGCATGCCACACCTGTGTGCATGTGTGTGTGTGTGTGCATTCTGAGTTGAGTTGGGGAGCTGAGTCTAGAGTCTCGAGTCGAGTCGAGTCGAGTCGAGACCACATTTCATTATGAATTCTTGGCTCGACTTATTGGCGGCTACGTTCGTTCCTCAGATGCTTCATAGTCCATTTTCAATTATCTGCGTCGTTTGTTATTACTTTTATTATGGCCAACAACTGGGCAGCAAACAGCGGGTAATCAATGTTCTTAACTGGTCAATGAACCAGCGCACGGTGCTAACCCATTGTGTTTTACTTTTAGTTTTCTTTTTGCCTTTGTTTTGCTGCCATTGCTAATGAAATTACATACCAAATTAATATCAATTTTTACTACTATCTCGCTCTAACTCTGTCTGCCTTCTCTATGCCTCTTGCAGTCGCAAAAATTCTTTGGTTATTCGCACACAGCTGAGCGTTCGCGTTCATGCCATTATAGGTAAGTTGCTTGGTTGAAATTATGTTGCGCATACGCCTCATTGACCCTGGCTCTTGCAGAGAAACTTCTTTCATCGGAGGGCAGCGATCTGCGACGTGCCCTGTTCTCGCTCAAGCAGGTGTTCCAGGAGGATAAGGATCTGGTGCATGCCTTTGTCGCACTGGGCGGTCTCAATTGTCTCGTGAGCGTCGGCAATTGCGCCGATCAAAACTATCAGAACTATATACTGCGTGCCCTAGGCCAGGTAAGCAGACAACGATCACCGATCACGGATCACAAATCACTTCTCAGTGATCACAGCTCACCACTCATAGCTAATCATGTCTTTTCAATGCGACAGGTCATGCTCTATGTGGATGGCATGAATGGCGTTATGAAGCATCAGCCCACCATGGAGTGGCTCTACTCATTGATCGCCTCCAATTACCGTTCAGTGGTCAAGACGGCGCTCAAGCTGTTGCTCGTGTTTGTGGAATATGCTGAGACCAATTGCTATGTGTTAGTGAGCGCCATTCATGCAGTGGACGCAGCCAAGGGCACTTTGCCCTGGGCCAATATTATGAGGTAAGCGACCACTGATCGCGGCTTGTTTAAACTTTAAGCACTCACATTTGGTAATCTCGCTCTCTACAGACTGCTTAAGGACTACGATAATGCAGATGCAGAGCTCGTGATCTATGCCACATCGTTGATAAATAAAACCCTAGCCGGCCTGACAGACCAGGATAGTTTCTATGATGAGAGTGATCTGCTGGAACAGCAGGGCATGGAAACGGTTATACAGCGCTATATGTCCAAGCCAGGCACAGATCTGGATCTGCTTGATCAATTGCAGCTGTACGAGGCGGTGTTGAAGTAGGCACAGATTAAGATCATTTATATATATTACTTACTGATGGCTAAACTTTGTCAACAGATTCGAGGATGGTGAATCGGATGGGCAGCGTTTGCCACAGAACTCAATGCGTAAGACTCAACGCTATCGTCCGGGCGCCAGCACCACGGAGCGACGCAAATCGCGTCGGCACAGCACGGACAATAGTCCGGCGCCTTTGACCAAAGTGCTGCCCACACAAGTGCTGCGCATGACACCCACGCAGGCCACAGTCGATGAGGATGATAGCTCTGGCTCGACTAATTCTACAGAGTTCAGCAGCGGCATATTTCAGGAGAAGAAACGTAGGCTTCCATATTCTATAAGAAAATTAGAAATGTAACTGATTGAAATATAATTGTAGCGCGCGATGGCGCAGGTGTCACACCCGGACTGAGACGTCGACGTGAGCGCGCGGAGCGGCACAAGAGTTTCCTCAAGGAGCAGGAGGAGGCAGCGGCCAATGGCATCTTTGCAGCACGTGAGCTGCGTGAAAGCTATGGTAAGTATTTAGTAGGTTACCTCCAATTGCGAATTGCTTACCGCTGGGGCTGCTTTAGAAAAGAAACCGAAACTAACTATGATTCTCTCTCCATGCTAATCGCTGTGTATATCTGTGTTTGTCTCATTGTCACCCGCTAACCAAATATGTCACCCACAATTGTCATATGCCAAGGCCAAATCGTAACCGCCATTCCTGCAACCATAAAAAGCGGCGACAGTCCGCCGCAATCGCTGCAATCGCTGCAACCTGAGCTGCCTGAGCTCACGCCCACGCCCTGCAACAACAACAACAACAACAACAGCCACAGCCACAATAACAACAACAACAATAGCAACAATAGCAATAGCCATCACACCCACAACAACCACATTGACACGCCCAACAACAGCTTGCTGCTGAGTCCCACGAAGCAGCTGTTGAGCGGCAGCCAGAGCATCTCGATCATCAACAACAGCTTCGACAAGGCCAACAACAATATGAACAACCAGAATGAGTTCCTTACCAAAAAGAATCTCTTTCGGGAGCGCAACGCAACTGTGATCAACGGCATCATGAAGAACATACAGCAGACAGACAGTGCCTACAAAAAGTATGAGAACGATGCCAATCGACTGAACAACTACTACACACAGCTCAACCAATCGCCCAAGCATCTGGCCGCGGCACAGGAGAAGTCGCTGAATGGCAATGGCTTTGAATTTGTGCCAGACAGTTCAACGCCTCTGAAGGCGGATGCTTTGCCTGCGCCCGAACCGCTGAGTCCCATACACAAGCCAGCGGCAGTGGCGCCACCGCCTCCACCGCCTCCACCACCGCCACCACCACCTGGCTGGTGGCATATGCCCATAGCCACCAATACAAATGCAGCTAGAACCCTAACCAGTACTAACCCAGAGCCTCCAACAGCTATGGAAGCAACAGGTAGGTGCAGCTTCTCTTTTAACAACTAAAATATGTAGCATACTTTTCAGAGCTACGAATCAGCCACATATCACATTCTATTCAAAATCTGTAGCATACTTCTCAGCGCTGCAAAAAATCGAATATTTCATTTGCTGCTGTTGCATGCCGCAAGGCATCTGTTCGAACTAAACCCTCTGTTGATTAAATTTCTAATTTCGTTTATATATTTGGACTTTTTTTTGCTTAGATCTGGAAGATAAGGAAATGCTAATGCAGCTGAAACGTGATCATACCGTCAAAGATTTGACACAGAAATTATGCAATCTGCCCACAAGTCCCACACAGGAGCCAGGCAGCCGTGCCATAGTGGGAGACATGTCTGGCCTTATTTCGAAAGCCAAAGAGGGGCTTGCCAAAAGCAAGAGCAAAGGTGAAATTTCACGGTGAGCAACATCTAATCAATAATTTTCTACTCGATATATATCTTATCAGCTGACGGCTATCAGTAAAACTTGCTTAATCTAATAGTTTAAAGGGCAAGAAATATGTAGAATTGCTGATATCACAAGTTCTATCGAAATCTGGAAAGTTTAGAACACATAAACAGCTAGAAGTCTTTTATCTTTTTTTTTACATTTTTTTATCCATATATAATTTATTTCAGTAGAATCAATTTACGTAAAGTAAAATGATTTAAGCGTATTTGGGTGCATATTTCTCATAGGTGGCAATGTAGGCAGCCTTGGCGGCATCCTGGGACAGACCCTTGTTCTTGGTCCATGCATTCCACTTGGCCTTGGCCTTCAGATCCAATGCACCTGGCTCAGCCGTGTTATTGTCACCGACTGTGGCCTGCTTGTAGAGACCGTAGAACTCCAGGAACTCGTCGTTCGTGGGGGTCTTAGTGAAGTTCTTGGCTTTCTCGGCGGCGGTGTTGAACTGTCGATTAAAATAGCGAATTGTAGTGCCCAACAGAAGCAGAATCATATATCAACTGTTTGCTGTATACTCACATCCATTATGTCTTATGCTTCGGCTGCTAATGAGTGCCAACTGTGACTCCTCAAAGACTATTTATACTAAACCCTGTCAGCTGATAGCGATTTATGGCAGTAGAAGCTGTTTTTAGATATCGGCATGTGATAAGCGACAGTTTCCATGTCACATAAATGTCACATAAAACTTTAATTGCTAATTATTAAATCGAACATATCAAAGGTTTCGCATTTGGAGGGCTGATCGCAAACAGTAGATGGTTACTGAGGTCACTTCGTATTTATTGTCATTTATTGCCAATGCAATTAACAAAGTATTAACTGAACTTATGTGTAGATGGGAGCGTACTTATTGTAGAGAGCAATGTAGGCGGCCTTAGCGTCATCTGTGGACATGCCCTTGCGGCTCAGCCAGGCGTTGTATTTGGCAGCACCCTCGGCGTCGGCGGGCTTCTCGATGTTCACATCGCCGCTATGGACCTGCTTGTAGAGTCCGTAGAACTCCAGGTAGACCTCTGGTGGGGGCTTGCTGCTGAAGGCCTTGGACTTTTCGCAAATCGTTTCGAACTGCAGGACAATAAAAGTTCTCTGATTAGTCGCTTCTATCTATTTGGAGTGCATTGCACAACTTACATCCATTTTGTTCGGGACTTATTGAAAGACTATGATTTCTAGTGTGCACATGGCGCCTTTTATAGCCAACTCGAGCAATATAAGTAAATCTTATCAATTATAAAAGCAGTTAAAGCAAACAGGTGTGCCTCTATAAAAGAACTAGAAAGATTTTAGATCTATGGCCTTTCGATTAATTTATGACTTTTATTTGTTATGCAAGTTTTGGCTTTTTATATAATGTTTGAGTGAAACATTGTACCATATCTAAGGGATCTTGTAATCTAGAAAGTTTTTTGTGTGTTGCTTCTCTTTGTTTGCACTTTTTATTTGCTATCGTTCGGTTTGGTTATCTTGCTACTAGGCTAAATTTGATAAGACTACTTTTATGGTGTATACTTTAACTTACTGCAATCGAATGATCGCAACAAGTACAGTAAAAAGTACCGCTAGATTGACCTCAAGTGCAATAATATACTTTGATACTTTGTATTATCTTATGCGCTATAACAGCTCATCGAGCGTCGATCAGGAACTGAAGAAGGCTGAGCCGAAGAAATCCGAGAATGAGCTGCACTGGGAGGAGCTGGTTCGCAATATGACGCGACCCTTGAATCTATGTGATCTCGACTTTACCGATCTGCATTCGGACGATGAAAAGGATGTGCTGGCACCACGTGGTCTCGGCGCTGGCATACCGCCACCGCCGCCACCACTTGGAGGCGGCATGGTCATGCCACCGCCCATGATGCCGCCCTGCTTGATGCCGCCGCCCATGTTTAGCTACGCGGGCTACGGAGCGAGCAGCCTGACGAACAGCGTGAATAGCTCACTGAATGGCTCCATCAACGGGGAACTGGCCAATGGCAATAATACCATCAAAAAGAACAAGAAGACGGTGAGAAATGAGACTTGATATAGGAAAACGCAAGGCCTAAACTCATGAGCTTTTCAGGTCAAGCTCTTCTGGAAGGAAGTGCGCGAGGACATGATTCCACCGGTGGTAGGTAAAACGATTTGGGACGAGCTGCCCGATGCCAATGTGGACACACAGAAGCTGGAGCATTTGTTTGAGTCGCGCGCCAAAGACTTGATGACTAAGGTGCGTGTTACATATACAGCTTGCTAACATTAGGGGTATTCCCTGGCAACTACTGATGTGTTATTGCCATTGATAAAAAAAACAATGTCATTAAATAAGTCTCTTAGCTATTATTTTAGTCTAAAATGTTGCATAACCCAAAACAACTTTTTGCGAATGATATTTGTATTCTTTTCCCCTTTTATCTCTGGACATGTTTACAATAATATTAATTCTATATGTCAACGGTCTCTGTTATGCGGATATATCTACAATACATAAATGTTGTGCTAAAACCGAAAAAAAAAAAACAAAAATATATCGAATCAAATTTCTCAAAATCAATAAATATATATATCAAATAAATGTTCTATAGGAGGTGAGTGCAAATAATATGTTTAATACACTTTTACTCGCTCTCTCTTTGTCTATCTGTCTGTCTCTCTCTGTCTCTCTCTCTCTCTCTGTCTCTCTCTTGCTCTCTCAATGTTTCTCTGTCGGTTTACGTTAGTCTTTCCATGTCTTACCCACGGTGTTGGTTAATTACACACATTCTTTTTGTTATGTTACATGTAGACTCAAATACACACACACACGCACACACACACATCTATACACACTCACAGGAACTGGAATCGGAACCACAGGTTCATTTCTAGTTCACTATATTTTGTTGCTAACACTTGTCCACAGCAGCCACTGTTAGATACATTGTGTATACGCCCCCTCCCCCCTTCTACCCCAACTACAACATAAACAAGCTCCAAACTCTCTCCAACTCTTCCTTTAACTAATGCGCTTTCGCACTTGCAGAAGCAACAGGAGCTGAACAAGAGCAAAGAGATCATCGTGCTGGACCACAAGCGCTCCAATGCCATCAACATTGCAATGACCAAGCTGCCGCCACCGCGTGCCATCAAGGCTGCCATCTTGAAGATGGATGCGACTGTGGTCACGCGCGAGGGCATTGACAAGCTGCTGAATATGCTGCCCTCGGATGAGGAGCGTGGCAAAATACAGGAAGCCCAGCTGTCCAATCCGGAACTGCCGTTGGGCAGCGCCGAGCAGTTTCTGCTCACGCTGGCCTCCATCACAGAGCTGGGCGCACGTCTTAAGCTGTGGGCCTTCCGCTTGGATTTCGACAACTGCGAGGTATGTCTAAGCATCATCGAAATATCCTAAATCTAACCGAATTCCCATGCTGCAGAAAGAGATTGCCGAGCCGCTGATGGATCTCAAGCAAGGCATTGAGATACTGCGTCAGAATCGCACCTTTCGCAGCATACTCTCCACGCTGCTCTCGGTGGGCATCTTTTTGAACGGCGCTCCAGTGAAGGGCTTCCAGATCGAGTATCTGGCCAAGGTGCCGGAGGTTAAGGACACAGTGCACAAGCATTCGCTGCTGCATCATCTCTGCCACATGGTCATGGAGTCCAGCAGCGATACAACGGATTTGTATTCCGAAATTGGACCCATTACGCGTGCCTCTAAAGCCGACTTCACCGACCTCGCACACAACCTCACCCAATTGGAGTCGGAGTGCAAGGCATCGTGGGACCGTCTCAAGCTCATAGCCAAGCACGATTGTGCCCCGCCTCTCAAGCAGAAGCTGGTGGATTTCCTAGCCGATTGTGCCGAGCGCATCATCAGTCTGCAGACGGTGCATCGGCGCGTGATGAATCGCTATCGCAAGTTTTTGCTCTGGCTGGGCATGCCGCAGCACAGTGTCTCGGAGTCGCGACCGAATGAATTCTGTCGCACGCTCTCCGAGTTCGCGCTGGAGTATCGCACGACTCGAGAGCGCGTGCAGCAGCAGCTCGAGAAGAAGGCCAACCATCGCGAGCGCAATAAGACGCGCGGCAAGCTGATCATTGATATGGTCAAGTTCAAGACCAAAGAGGATGTGGCTGATGCCGAGCTGAAGTATGTCTCCGGTTGCAAAGCAATTTCAGCACTTACTAATTATCATTTCTGATCTCGCAGACAACTGCTGGGCACACCGAGCCCCGATCAGGCGGATGGCACGCTCACCTGGCGACGTCGCCGTGCCGAGCAGCTGCGCTCGCCCATTGCCAGGCAGAGCGAGGAGCAGTTCACCGACGGCGATGATGAAATACTCGAATCGCTGGTCAAGACAGCGACAAAGGCATCGGGCATACGGACAACGCCACGTGAACGCAAGCGTACCCGCCATGCGGATCGCAAGTCCTGTAAGTTCTACAAGCGTCCGCAACAAAACGCCTTGTTGATCGATGATTGAGATCAATTTTAATCCAGCTGTTGGTTTATCTTTTGGAATACACACACACGCCTCGCACAGCGCGCTATGTTTAGGCACAACCAAACACACCCACACACACACCTCTGCAAACTCGAGGCTACAACAACAATTCCAAAAAAATGAAACCAAACTGAAAAAAGAAACCAAATCTAAAAGCTGATTATTCCCGTACTTAAATTTGATGACTTCCCCGCGACCCCAACTCAAAAGCTTACGCACTTTTTTCAGTTCTTTGCTAGCTTTACGTATCGGTTTGCCTATATTGGGTTTTTAATTTTATGTTTTCTTACCATTAACGCACCCAACAACAAACAATAAAACCAATCAACCAATCAAACAATCGAATACTGAAGTGAAGCGCAGCCGCACGCGCGAGGGATTCACAGTTGAAAGAGCACCATCGCCATAGAGCCGTTTGCGCAACTGTTGCGCAACCGTTTTGCAGCTAAAACAAACAAATATTTTTAGGTTTTTACCTTTCTGTTCTTGGTTAGTGTTCAATTGTAATGCACAAACTATATATACTATATATATTTATACTATATATACTATATATATGTATGTGTACATACATTATTTTTTTATTTTTGTTCAAGTTTTTTAATTGTTGAGTTTTGTTTTTTGTCCGGAGATACATTTGCTGGCATCATCTTTCAGATATCTTTGCGTCAGTCTTTCAATCGAAATTCTTGAAGAGATGTTTGGAGATGTTTGCAAATGGCTCTCGCAGAGTTTTGTTTATGCACTTTAAGCGCGCCTGGCTCATATCCCAGTTGATTTATATACGAAGCATGCGCCTAACTCCAGATTGCATGTGATAAGCAAGTCCTTCGACTTTTGGCTAAAAACTTGTTGCAAGTTGCAATTTGTATTCAAATTGTTAATATTAATTTTGTTTCCTGTTTTGCAGTGCGTCGAACGCTGAAGAACGGTCTCACCGATGAGGAGAAGCAGCACGTGGCTGCTTTGATACAAACCTATTAGAGCTAAGGGCGAACCACGCTAACTGTATACCCACTATCCGATCCAAAATTGAAACCCAGTGACGTCACAAGTCGGGCTATGCACAGACTGAAATTGGCGATCTCACGTGCAGCAAATAATCAGGATACAGCGCGTATCACTCTCCCTCCCACACAAACACTTGTCTCACCCAAAATCTCCCGAAACTCTGAAAACGACGCAGTCCTACAAAAGCAAAAAAGTTCTCTTAAATAATTTTTCTGTTATTCGATATATTTTTAGTTTGTTTGTTTTTACTTCGTCTAAGTATTACAATTAAAAAATATTTTTTATTGTAACAGCAACTGTATTAATAGCCAAACAAATTTTATAGATATATATATATAAATAATATATATTTTAGAATTGCAAATTGATTTTTAGTTAACCCAAGATTTTAATTTGTACCGATCTGCGAGCTTACGAAATTAACTTAAAGTTTAATGATAGCCTTAGCCCTAGACTTAACTACGAAAATAAATAAAATACATACGGAATATTTATTAAAAACTGTGATCCGTAGTTGAAATCTCTTTTAGAAGCCGTTCGTGCAGGGCTGCTGCACGTAGTCGAGGCAGAAGCCGCGATTGTCGATATCATTGGGCGCCTCGACGCCGTCTGTGTGAAAGTACAAGCGGAAGGGACGCACGCTGGCTGCAAGTAAAGAGGAAGAATCGATAGAGTGGTTCGGCCTGAGCTGAGTATGTTACCAACATTGCACTGTCTTGGCCAACATGCCCGCCTCGGCGCTGAAGGTGCCGCCGCACACGCGATCCTCGCAGCCTGGCAGCGGGGGTATGCGATCCGCTGAGCGTATGCAGCCTATGAGCAGCCAGTCGCTAATGCAGCCCATGGCAGTCGTTGCACCGCCGGCACCACCACCACCGCCACCCACCTGAGTGGGCACCGGATTGTTCGAGTTGCCCGATATAGTAAAGGAGCGCGAACGATTGTTCTCTAGGTCGGGGCACGCGTTGTATTGAATGCCACAGAAATTGCGCTCGTTGCGTATGCAGATGCTGTAATCCTGATTGGACAGCTGTCGCCCGCCCACCGTATTGTAGTTGAAGCTGCGCACACGCCCACTTATAGCTGTGAAATACTGCAGGCAGCCCTGATCAGCGCGGCTAATGCTGCCGCAGTGGATCTGGGTGACGCGCACGCGCCACAGACGCGGAAAGCTGGCGCTGGTTATGACGGACAGGACAATGGGATTGCTCTGGCCCAGACCAGCGTCTATATACACTGAGAGAAAACGCTTTGTCAGCTAACTCGTGCCACTTTCCTGCTAAACACTCACTGTGATCGCCCGTGGAGCTGCCGCATATGGTGGGCGTGGGGCTGCCGCCCGATATCAACAGCTGATCCTGATTGCACAAGTGATTCGCTGCCTCCGGCGGCGCTATGGAAAACATATCCAGATCCAAGCGCAGCTGGCATATATCCGGATGCAGCTTCTGCACCGTCACCTGACAGCTGCCAGTGCCATCATAGACATCCGGGTGATTGGGATTCACAAAGTATGTAGAGTTCTCGCGTATAACGCCACCGCAAGTCTGCAGAACTGCAAAGTCCGCTGGAGTAGGTATATATAGCTGGAGTGGTGCACTACTTACATATGCAGCAGACGCCGTAGCCACCGCCGCAGGGTCCAGCTGGTATGCCATTGCGTAGCAGGCAATCTTTGTTGGCCATGCAGTTGCCCAGCTCACCGGACGGCGCTGCACAGCTGCTCGTGCCATAAGGCATCAGCGAAAAAATGGGCAGAACTGAAAGTTTGTTGTTTAAGTCAACTTAGTTAAAGTGAAACTCCCAAATGCTGCACACCCACATTTCGATTCTCTGAGGCGAGCCGGCGGCGTTAGCCACTTGTTGCCGAAGAACAAATCGTGCCAGCTATTCGTATGCGTCTTTTCGGGCACCTTGCATGCGGCCAGGATGAACAGGCTGCAGGAGATAACGTATACGCAGCGTAGCTGCTGCTGCGAGTAGACCATGTTTACTGGAGTGGCTCTGGCTGGAGTTGCGCACGCGTTGCGCTTTGTCACTGTTGTGGCACGCAGCCACGCAGAGGCGACAATTTATTTAACTTGCCATGGAAATAGGTTTAATGACCGCAATTTGTGAACAGAAACAAAAATACTTGAAAATTTAGTTGTTTATTAATTGTAACAACAAAACGTGGCAGCAACAAACAACAATTAGTTGCGCCACAATCAGCCAGCAATGCAGTCAATGGCATGGGTGGGTGGTGCACACAGATACAAATATATATATAGATATATATTATATATTCACGTTTCGTCAACTTTTTTGTGTGTGCTTCCTGTTGCGAATTTGTTTTTCCACACCTTCGCATCGATTATATGTTGGGCAAGGCCTGGGGACGGAACAAAAAACTCGAGCATGAAAGTGCTGGCAATTTGTGGTTGCGACATAAAAGAAAACTCAGCCACATAATAGAATAATAATAAAAGTTATGACAACACCTGCCTGGCTCAGCGTTTTGTCTAATTTGATTAAAGCTGCACACAAATTGGGTCAATGTTAGCCTAATTTAATATATTTATTTATTTTCAACATTTTCGTTTGCTGCTGGCCCAGCGACTTTATTGGCCAACGCCAGAAAAAAAGAGAGAAACACTTGACAAGTGTGTGATAAGAGCTTTATTTACAATGGTCTTTAGCAAAATTCATATTTCAGGGTCGTCACTTTTCACGCGAATTGTTTTGAGTAGGCTGAGAAAAGAATTAAGTAAGCTTTTTGCTATTGCCCATATTATATAAGGCCCTTAGACAATGGGCATTGAGTGAATATTTATAATAAATAAAAGGAGTTATTGAATATCGAGCTTAAAATGAGGCAAGGCTTGACTGAAGTAGAGAAAGGTAGTGTATGCTGCTGACCTGTTTTTAATAGCACAGAAACATGGGCTCTTTTGCCTTTCGAATTATCAAGAAATACTTGAAATATTTGGGCAGGAAAAGGAACTTTTTCATTTCAGCTGATGTAAACTGAAAATATGTAAAATAAGAATAAAATATGAACAACTTTGAACAGAATATTTATTATATTTGAGATACACTGAATGCATATAGACCCTATATTAAATTTATATATTATTATATTTATATATTATTATCAAAATTTGTTGATCATTCAGTAGCAGGCGCTGCATTGCCATCGAATATATAGAGTTATTATATTATTATTCAAGAATTTATAAATGGAATTGACTCCAGTTAAATTTGTCCGTTCTTACCTCTGTCTCTCTATCTACCTGCCTAGCTGTCTGCCGGACTATTTGTATATCTGTCTTTTTCTCTATCTCTCTGTCTCATGTCTTGGTCAAACCACTTGAACCTAAAGACTTCAATTACATGGACTTGGAGCAGCAGCTGCCAAATGTAGTACATAGATTGTTCTTAACTGTAATAATAATAAAATAAAAATGTTGCTGATTCTGATGACCATTTGCATAATGCGATTTCAGGGTCCAAAAATAGTTAGATGCATTAAGAAAAAATATAATAATAATATAACTAAACAATTTATCTGATTTGTTCCGCCCCAGAGGATATATCTCCAGCAATTGGATGATTCTAAGTGAAAAGCTCTGCAATATATAGTTGCTTTTCAATTTGCCACGCCCTCACTGGCCGTAACACGTTATAAGACGCTAATACCAAATAGTCTATATATTTCAAATTTGAACGCTTTAGCTTCAGCACACATAAACAAACGCAGATTACACAAGACTCTTTTCCCTTTCAACTGATGGACTTTATATAAAGATTAGACTTTCTGAATAGTTTAAATATTTCAATAAATATAAATATTTTTTCATAATTTTCCATAATTATTTGAATTAAGATTTATTATTTTTCGATTTGATTATAAAAGCATTAAGGAATCGAAGCAAACTTATTAAGATATCTAAGAAATGGTTAAGCTTGGGGCGCTGGCTTGTCGCACTCGTATTTTCCATCCGGGAGCTTGCAGCTCTTCACGCAGAACTCGCCGGAGTCGATGGCGCAGAAGGTGCCCTCTGGACAGGGATTAATTTGGGGGCTCAGCTCGGTGCCCATGCACATCTGGAAGGTGGTGCGACTGGTGCAGACGAACAGCTGGCTGCCATCGCAATCTCGGCAGTTAACATCCTTTTTGTTACAAACCGGCTCCACACCATCGCCTTCGAAAGGCTCCCAGCATGGATCCAGCAGATCGGTGCAGATCTTGCCTTTGCCACAGCTCAGTATACCGCCATTTTCAATCGGAGACTGATTGATGCACACTCTGTAATGGGTCTCGTCTACACAGGTTACATTGCTCTGCATGCAACCGCCGCAAGTGGCAGCGGAAACTGCGGACAGCATGCAGCTGAAAGCCACGAGGAGGATCTTTGGAAGAGACGATAAACAGTTAAAGGATGCATCCGTTCCTGCTCCCTTTCCCTTTGCAGCTCGCTTACCAAATTTGTCTGCAGCATTGTGAATGCTTTGTTGGCTTCGCGTTGAGCTAACTAATGAGACCATACAACACATGCCGCACATTTATATCAGCCAGCCGCAGCTTGCGAAACACTCCGATTTAGCTGTGGAAGAAACAAGAAGCTGGCAGAGATAATTGCCAGATTTTATGCTGGGCTTAGTATATTTACAGGAGATAGAGCTCCAGCGAGATTGCAGCAGCACGGTAGCTCGCATATTTATGAATGCTGTAGCATTGAGAGATAAAGAAAAATGGTGGCTGCCTCTGTCATAAAGATAATACCACCAGCAGCTCGGCAGCATTTAAAAGGCATGGCAACGGCATTCAGCTAGCTCAATTGCAAGCTGAAGATGAAGATGTCGCTGCTTCGACGCGTTGGGCTTTTGGCTCTGCTGGCCTTTTTGCTGGCACCGGCCGCATTTGTGGATGCCACCTGCGGCTATTGCTACGGCTCGCACACCTGCCTCAGCAATACCACCTTCCAGCTGTGCTTCAATAGTAAGTTAGTGCGTTGCACTTGCAATTGCAGATACTGTCGATCTCTAACCACAACGCTGCACCACCAACAGAAACTCCAAGTCCGGATCATAGCTTCACATGTCCGGATGATAAGCCAATTTGCACGCAATACGGCGATATTTGTATGGAAACGGATGTTCCGCCAGCCTGTGGTGATACTTCGAAGTGTAATCAGTGCGGAAATGGGGAAATCTATGCCTGCGCCTCCCTCACCACCTTTGGCAGTTGCGATGGCGGTGAACTGATGCCCGAAAGAAGCACCTGCCCCAACGAGTGGTTCTGCAGCATCAGAGGTGCGAGCATTGGAACCCCCTGTGTGTTAGCATGCGAGCCGGATGTTGACGACACTTGCGATCGCATTGACAATGATGCGGTAGCGACAACACCTGTCCCCAACACTACTCCTGGTGGTTCCACTCCCAACAGCTATTGTCAAAGTACTCAAATCGTTGGTAAATTCCCCTTAGCGAACGACGCAGTCTGCACCAGGTAACACATAGAATTCGATCTATATTTAGATATGTAACTGTATTGTAACTGAAATTTACTTGCAGCTTCGTCTACTGCTTCTTCCGGGACAACGTGTGGAACGGTGCCATATACAACTGCCCTACAAATAAGCCGTACTTCAATGCAATCTCCGGCTGTGGTGCGACAAGGCCAACTGGTGTAGGTTGCAAGTAATGAAGTTCGTCTAATATATAAATATATATATTTGAATATCGATTTATACCAATATTTACATAGCTCTAATTGTATAATAAAGCGTGACTTATCCCCATTAGCTATAGTCAAGTTATTGCTAAAGTCTTTTGCTTTCGTATGAACAAATTTAAGAGACTTAAGTTTGATATTTTCAGAGATATAATAAGCTTATCTGAAATGAAATTTTAAAATGAAGACAGAATAAATTAAAAAAAAACTAGATCAAGCTCAATTCCAGGGCAACTGCTAGTCGACTACTCAGACTCTAAAATGCTATAAATTGTCAATATTCTAGGGTATATGCTAGTCGATTTATTTTTAGCCAAGCCTTTAATCATATAGCTATTATATTTATTCTATAGCTATATATTTATTACTTAATTATTATCCATTAATTTATTTTTCCCCCCCCTTTTTCCACATTTCTAAGCCAACTTCGACTGAAACTTTAAGCATTTGGTCAATGGCCCGACTGCTACTCAAGTGTAGCATTATGATAGTGCTATTCCGCTCATTATCGCAGTGTTATGTTTTTCTTCTTTTGGTTTTTATGTTGCGATCATAAAACAGCGCCTGGCAATCAAGTGGAAAGCCAAAGCAAATAAAACAATTAGCATGCTCAAAGCTACATATGAAGAGTAGATAAACAATCAAAATTTCACTAAGCGAGATGACAACGTTTATAACACAGCTGACACGAGATTAGTGTTCTTTAGTAGAGGCAAAACCTTGACAGTGAACACAAGTCATTGCCGGAATAGAAGGTGAAACAATGGCCAAGGATCTAGCAACTGTGCTGCAAATTGGCTCCGCGGTAAGACAGAGCTTGACTTTACATCTATCAAGGATCATGGATCATAGAAAGGTCTTCTCTTGTTTCAAGCTTGTTTTAGTCTGTCTGCTGGGTCATGTGGTGGCGGACTGCAATGTTTGCCAGACGAATCAGGCTGCCTGCATCAACTCCACCTCCTTTTACCTGTGCTTCGGAGGTATTTGCTTGTCGATCGCAAGTTCTGTTCGAGTTTAATCAAGACCTGTCTTACCCTCTAGATGGCACACCGCATACGGATAACATTTACAGCTGTCTGGACGGCACCGTTTGCACCGCCCGCACCGCCATCTGTGTGCAGAAGAACGCGCTGTGGCCAGCCAGCTGCGGCGACACCAGCAAATGTGGACAATGCAGTGCGCATCGCAATCATAAGTTTGCCTGCTTGAGTCGGCACACGTTTCGGATGTGCTATGGAGCGGCACAGCCGACAGGCCCGATAGGCATTTGCCCGGCGGGCAACGCTTGCGATGCCGAGAGCGATGTGGTCTGTACGGTCGAGCGGGCAGGGCAAACTTTTACCTGTGACGTCCAGGATGACCTGGTAAGCAGCAGCACAGCTAGCCCAACGACAACAAGACCCACTGAGCCCAGCTCCATGACGGCGCAGCAGCTCTGCGAGCTCAAGGCTTACACAGGACTCTACGAGACCAGGCCACGTGATATCTACTGCAAACGGTGCGTTATACTTGACAACTAAGGGTTAAATGATCTCTCGCTAAACTAACATTATCTTCACAGTTATATAAGTTGCTACTTCAACAAGGCTGGCCAAATAAAAGCCGTGGAATATGAGTGCTCCGCAAATTCCTATTTCGAGGCGGAAACACAGCGCTGCGTTTACAAAGCGCCAGCTAATTGTACAGCTAGACCCTAATCATTATGTAATCAATAAATAAAAATAATAATTATAATACAAAATATAAAAAATATGATATTAGATGTAGAATCATTTATAATGATAAGATAATAATGAAAATAAATTAACTTTTCAAATAGACAATGATAATGAAAATGAAGATGATAATAAATAGCAATATTTCATGATGATGTTGCGCATGGTAATCTGATAATGATGATAATGATAATAATAATAATAATAATAATAATAATAATAAGAATAATAATAATAATAATAATAATAATAGTAATAATAATAATAATAATAATAATAATAGTAATAGTAATAGTAATAATAATAATAATAATAATAATAATAATAATAATAATAATAATAATAATAATAATAATAATTATAATAATGAAAAAGATAATCAAATAACAATAATGCTGGCAATGACAATGGCACAGATAATAATTATAGTGTCAGCAGTGTCAATGACAATGATAATTATAATAATTAAAATTCATTTCAATAAGCATTTAATATTTCAAATTTTTTCCAGCTCTACGCTGCTTTGATTATTGTTGTTGTTGCATTTGTTGGATCATCTGCATGCGGGTATGACCTGTGCCTCAAGTTCACAGATCTGCGCGTCATTCATGCTGCACACAGCCTGTTGCACAGCTGCCCAACAAAGTGTGAGGCGTGGTCGTGCCAGGCCGAGGGCAAAGGTGCTCGTTGAGCTGCAGGCAAAGGTCATGCTGGCATCAAACTTGTTGCAGTCCAAGCAATGCTATTGTGGTGCTGGCAGAGCATGTTTTCGACAGCATTGCACACGTTACAGCTCGCTCTAACTGTGCTCGAACAGTTCCAGCAGCAGAGTAGCTTCGGCCCAGATGTAGACTTGGCCTTAATGCTTGATTCTTAGACTCCAGTAAGAAACATAAATAGAAATTTAGGCGACCATTGTCAAAGCTTCAGCTTGGATAAGCCAATTTCAGAGGCAGCAGCAGCAGCTGCTTGTCTTATCAGCAGACCATAAAGAAAGCAACTCAACAAAATCATTGCGCACTTTCTTACACTGGTTTCGGTTTTCCCCACTTAGATAAAGCTAGAATGCAATTGCCTTTTGACTTTTAAGAGCTGTTGCAATGCAATTTGCATTGCAGTTGCAATTCGAGATGTGGCGTCTGCTCTTCATAGTCTTCCTTGGCATTTTGCTATGCAGTCTTGACTGTCAGGCTGCTTGCTATACCTGTGGGGCGACCAGCAATGTGGCCTGCATCTCGGACAGCCAGTTTCAGTTCTGTGCAAACAATCAGACCATTGGACCTATCAACTCGTGCCCCGCGGGCAGCTACTGCACCAGCCAGACAACTATTTGCGACAAGAACCCAGCACTTAAAGCCTGTGGCACGTGTGGCAAGTGCAATGAACAAGGCACCTTTGCCTGCACTGGGCCACGCACCTTCGCCCTGTGCCTGGGCAGTAGTCGGCCCTCGAACATTACGTCCAGCTGCACTGGGGATCTGGTGTGCAACATGGATCTGCCGGAGATATGTGGCAGTGCCGCAGTGACCAGTGCCACCTGCGCCGAACAGACTGCAACCACAGAGCCAATCACCACAGCCAGCACCACTACAGAGAGCACACCCCTATCCCTAGATGCCTTTTGCCGTGCCGCCTTCAAGGGCATTCCCATCCACGCCATTCCCAATGACAGAGACTGCACTAGGTAACATAAAACTTGGCTTTTTTATGTATATATTTAGTTTTTTATATTTTCTCTACTTTAGCTACATCTACTGTCGTTTCTATATAAATACATGGACTGGTCGCATTATTGACTGTCCGTCCAATAAGCCCTACTTCAATGGCCGCACTTTGTGCTGTGGCACTGTAAAAGCCACTCTTCCCGGCTGCTTGCAAGGATAATTGCTTATATTGCATTGGCAAATGTCATCAAATTTATTTCAGACAAAAGAAATTCTTTATGTACTCACTCACTAATTCCAGGAATTTGACTTTAGATAAGATTAGAGAAGATCTTAAACTTGTGATAGTCGTAAAGTCTATAAGCCATAGTGGTATAAAATTATAAAAAATAATCGTGTATAATAAATGTCAATTATAAATGCTGCTATAAAAGCAATCCCTTGCTTGAAATTCTTCCAGTATTTATCTGAGTACAGATTATATATATATAGTAGTTTGTATATAATTGTGGAGAAATGTTAAACAATAGATTACGTGCTATAGATCTGTAGACGTTTGACGAATTATAACTAGTCAAAATTAAGTATACGTAACAATAACTTTTGCCTTAGGCAAATAGATTTAAAGTAAACATTTCGTTGCATACTTTCAGGCGGCAATTTTTTTCTCTGCAACTCTTGCAATTTACACGGTTATTTCTTTACACTGTAATGCAATTCATTTAATTTAATATAGTTCTTCAATTTATTTACCCGAAAATTAAATTTCTTATAAAAATATGTGTACATAAGATGCAGACTCAGCACAGAACATTTTGAATCAATATGTGACCTGCTGCAGTGCGAAAGATTGCAGTGATAATGATAATGATAACAATGAATAGCAATTCAATTTCATCTAATATTTTATATTTTACTCCAGCTCTATGCCATTTAGACTTAGGCTAGCTATGCGACCCGTGCAGAGTGCGGGCAGCGCTGCAACGCACTGTTTGGTAGCGCTGTCGTAGTACGTGCTGCCCGGACAGGTGTACAGGCTGCCATACCAACTGGTGCCCACCCTGTAGCAGTAGATGTACTGACGACACGTGCTACTGGCTAAGGTGCCAACGGGAAAATAATCTGCAATCTGCATCTGGGCGCAATAGGCATTCGGATTGCTAGTGGTTGGAGCCACTGTAGTCGTTGTGGTGGTGAACGTAGGTGTAAAGCAAGTTGTTGGTATTGCGGTAACGCACAAGCGACTGGTCGGGTTGTAGTAAGTGCGTCCCGGGCAGGTGTATTTTTGTCCTCGCCAAACGCCGTTCAATAGGTAGCAGCTGATGTACTGCCGACAAGTTGTCTCCGTATAATTGCCCACAGCAAAGGGGCCACGCGAGCGCACAGCCGAGCAGTAGGCGTTGGCATTTTCCGTCGACGGCGTGGCTGGTGTGGTTACTGTTGTTGGTGTTGTGGGTGTCGTCGCTGTTGTTGGTGTTGTGGGTGTTGTCGCTGTTGTTGGTGTAGTGGGTGTCGTCGCTGTTGTTGGTGTTGTGGGTGTCGTCGCTGTTGTTGTTGTTGGATCATCTGCATACGAGCAGGTGGGCACAGCCTGTGTCGCCACAGATCCACAGATCAGCGCGTTGTTCACGTTGCACACATAGCCCGTTTCACAGGTGCCCAACGAAGTTTGAGGTGTGGTCGTGCCCAGGCAGAGCGCAAAGGTGCTCGTTGAGGTGCAGGCAAAGGTCATGCTAGCATCGCACTTGTTGCAGTCCTGGCAATCAGCTACTGTGGTGGTGCTACTCGGCTCGCAGAGCGCACCAGCCGCACCACTCACACACACATTGCCAGCGGGACAGCTGGTGGGTATGAGAGTGGGCAAGTTGGTTGCATCGCAAGCCTGAAGTTGAGTAGACGAATAGCAGGCCATGTTGTTGACGGCGTTGCAGACGTTACAGGTCGCACTGGCTGTGGCGAACAGGCAGAGCAGCTGCAGCAGGCAGCCAAGTAGTTTCGACTCAGTTGTAGACATTTTCACAATGTCTCATTTTTGGACTCCCATTGCTTAAATACAAATTTAGGCAACTATTTTCGGCTTCACCTTGTCAAAGCATCAATTTAGATAAGTATCTAACCTTGCTTGGAGGCAGCAACAACATCTGCTTGTCTTATCAGCCGGCCATAAAGAAAGCAACTCAACTAAATCTTTGCTGCACTAGGAATCTGGCGTGCCACATCGATCTGCCAGTGACAATTTCATTGATCGCACATGGCGCTGTGGCAATGTTAAAACTACGCTACCGTCTTCAAGGATAAATGTTCCTATTGCATTGGCGAATGTTATAAAACTTAAATTAGATAGAAATGATTCTTAACTAAATAAATATTGTTATATACCATTAGATTAGATCTTAAACTTGTCATAGTCGTAAAGCTTATAAGTCAAACGTTAAAACATAAGCGTATATAGTATATGTCAATTATTAATGTTGCCATTAAATAAGTTAGTGTACATTTTTCCTTGACTTTCTATGAGCTATTATGGAAACACAGATGCAGAAATGTTTAAATATAAATTACATAATATAGTTCTATAGCATTTAGCGAGTTATAAGCAGTAAAAATTAAGTATACGTAACAGTAAATGTTGCCATAGACAAATGAATTTGAAATACAAATTTCGTTGCATACTTTTAGGAGGCAAATTTTATTGCCAGTTTATTCTGCATGTCATAAAATAAACACGATTATTTCTGTACACTGCAATTGAAGGCACATATATCGAATAAATTCAAACAAGGTATACGTAATTGTTATATAAATTATAAATTAAGTAAATGCATTATTAACTGCTGTTATAGTCATATGGTTCTTAAGTAAATGAATCATTTCCTGGTATCTGATTGTACTGAAATAAGATCAGGTTTACCTAAGCTAAAATGTAATTTCTGATTAAAATATATAAGCTGATTTTTCACTCAGTGTGTAACCTGTTGTAGTGGCAAAGATTGCGTTTGCCTTGACGTTGACCGAGTAGACATAGCCAATGATAAAGTACGACTCACACGCCTTTGCTGCCAGCTATCACAGTTCATTCATTCATACAACGGAATCGTGCGTAACTTGTTTCGTTCGTGTTGCAAAATGTCAACGCAGCTTGACCAAGCAACTACCTAACAAGCTTACATATATAAATCGAAATAAAATAAAGTATGATAAACTTAATATACCCTAACGTTTACTTTTACATTTACTGACAGCGCTGTTTGTGCTCTGTTAACCTATTTCAAGTGTAATAAGTTGGCTTAGTTATAAATGTATTTCTTAAAATTGTTGAGGCTTCTATTCGTTAATTTACTCTGAGCTTAAGTCGAACGTGGTCTTGAAGTTAATATACACGCTAGGTTGGCAACATTGCGTGCTTGCTGGGCTATGATGGCTACATAAGTACCACAACGTAAATCAACTCTATTGGCCAGCAGCTGGCCAAAAACAAGTTCGTCGCAAACTTTATGCTACAGCTGCGATGAACTTGACACAATCTGCGACGGGTTACGGCTTGCTGCTGCTGCAATTGTTGTTTTTGTAGTTAGTTGAACTAATTGCGGGCAATGCAATTGCCAAAGTGTCACATAGTTTCACACATTACATAATGTTGTGCCAATTAATGCGCTCCGCTGATGCCCTATTGAGTCATTAGCTCTGGCCCATTAATCATGCAATCAGTTCATGGAGACTTGTGAGTGCCTGAGTTTATGGTAATAACAATAAAAACTGAAAGTGAAGTTTAAATTATAACTTAGAACTGCACAGCTGAGCTCAGCACGGAATCAATTTTGGGCCAACGCCTCGGCGCAAAGCTAAAAGATCGTTTTTTGAGGTGTGCGCGTTGGCAGTGTCCATTGTCTGGTGTAATTAATGATACATTAGAATTTATAAACAATAAAAAAAAAAACACGAAAACAATTCGAATTAGTTTGCCAGCAACTTCCTCATGGCGTTTAAAAACTCATTAGGCCTTTACTCTATTTTATTCTGCAGTACATATATACATATGTAATACCTTAAAAAATATATATAAATTCCACTACACACTTAATACTAAATTTGAAATTTGTTGTCTAAGTCTTTTGTTTGGTTAGCCAACACTAAAAAAATAGCTTTGTCCGCCAACCAGTTCATGGCAACCGCATAATGCAATTGCTACGTCACAACGACTGCAGCAGCAACTGCTGGTTGCATGCATTGTTATTCACACACCCACTAACCCACAATTCCGTTGGATAATCACGCTCAGCTTACTTTGCCCAATTCGACATTTTAATGCACTCGATTTGTGAGGCTGCAGCCACGCCCCAGCTGAACTAGTTTCCCAGAAGGCAAAAGAAGAAACAATTCAAATTGACTCATGATCCTAGGCTGGTACTTTTCAGCATGAAAGAGCATTGCCAAGTCTATTTGCCCACAGCTTGAAAGTTGATCTGAACTCTTCAGTTGCTGTGGCCTGGCTCAGTCATATTTGGGCATTTGTTGGCCATTTGTCGGGTTGGCCAGCAGTTGGCGCAAATGCTGCTGAAAACTCGTGAACGCCCTGACTAAATGTACATAAATTTTAGATTGTACGCTGGGATTATGTTTATTCTGGTTTTATTCGCAGCATTTAATGACTGTTTTATGGTCGATCGCCGCGGCAACACTCTCAACAAAGAGTGCCCGACTTGTCGTTGATGTTTAGTCATTTCTATTCAAATATAGCTAAATTTATATATATATATATGTGTGTGTGTAGACGCCTCCCCTGGCAATTACTTGCGCTGCTGCAGTACTTTCGAAACTGCTCGCCTCGGTTGCCAGGGCAGCCGCCAGCCTCAGCTACATTGTTAGCTTCAGCTATTGGCATCGACAGCAGAAAACTCGCTCGGTTGGTCTGCATGACACAATTTGTTAACTAGATTCATATGTAAGACTTCACTCTCTCTCTCTATCTATCTATGTCCCTCTCTTTCACAAATTCATCAGCTCCTTTCTCTAATACGTCTCGTAAGCTGAAGTCCACCCAAGTTAAGCTGAGAACAATTCACAATGTGCCACGCCCACAGCCTAAATGCATTGCTTTCAGCTCAACATCAAAGGCGCATTGCAGAACACACAAAACCAAAAAAAAAAAAGGTCAGTCAGCTAGTCAAACAGGAGGAGCCATGTCGTTGCCGTCGCCGTCGCCTTCGAGACAAGCTCAAGATGTAGCTGGCCATGCTGGACATGCGAACATCTTCTCGTTGTTATTGTTTGGCAAATTGAATTTAGTAAGCTGGTAAGCCACCCACACACACACACACAGACATACGCAGCGGCAGCATAATTCGAAGTGGTGTCAAAGTACACCCAGAGAGCCCTCAATCTGTGATTATGGCTGCAGCCGCAGCCACACGTCAGTTGTGTAAGCGATTGCCAACGATTGCTGCTGTGGTTGGCAAAACGAGAACGTCAACAGTGGCGCGGTGGTGCAGTGGTGCAGCGCTGCAGTGGTGTCACAGATCATAAGAAGCGGCATGCCGCAAAAGCCAGCAATTGAGACACATTTTTTGCCACAGCAAATATATAACATTTGCTTGATCATTTCGGTGAGCAGGATATAGTCATGATATGGCTATGGTCCGCTTGCTGAGTCATTCGAGAGATCGACGTGCCGATCTAACAATGGTCTAGACCATATCGAAAGCCAGAACAATCACTACAAACAATGACAATGCCAACAATTATTCAAAAACAAGTTCGATACGGCTTACAGAGGAAATGTTGTAAGGCTGGCGCAGCTGCCACGCCTACTGGCCGGGTCTATGGTTGTGCAGCATTGCGAAAAGCAACTGAAACTGAAATCTAAGAACACAAATTGGAGCTTGCTCTTGGCAAATTGAGCGTTTGCTTTAGCTAACTTCCTCCCCCTGCCTCTCCGCCCACTCCATTTGCTTAACAGCGCCAAGGCCGTTGAGGGAGACCCCCTCATAAAAGCCATCGTGATCTACTATGCGACACGATTGCTCAGATTATATTATACTACCTGAGCCCATTCTGTGCGCCCTGTGTAATTGTACAGCAGATCAGCCACGCCCACTGCCGAGCTGACTTTGACATTAAGCTGTCCGAAAAGCTAACGAAACTTCAGTTTGATATTGAATATTGTTCGAGAAGAAAAGCTGTCAATAATCAACTGAAATACTGTATGGCTTGAAAGTTATTTTGATCTTAAAGTGGATGCACTTTGCCTCTCAATTGATTTGTTACAGTAAATCAAAATGCTTTCAGAGCAGTTCAAGGCTGCGTCTGCTTAGCGGATAGTCAGAAATAAAAGCAAACGAAGCAGAGGCTTAGATATTAATTGAAAGTATATTAGAAGCTTAAAGATAGCAAAGATATTTTATCTACTAATTTAGAAGTGATATTTAAGCAATTGTTTAAAGAAATAATAATTTTAAATATTGTTTTTATTTTTAACAAATTTTTTAATCAAAGACTTGTTATTAGTGCATGAATTAGTACAAAGAAAATGTTTTCTGATTAAATTCTATTGCTTGAGTTTGACTTTTGTTGTGAAAGCCAGTCGAAAGTAGTATATTAATAGATATAAATTTAAAGAATATATATTAGTTATGTTGATAATAATATTGGTAACTCTAACTCTAAAGATATCTCTTTTATATATATGCATGCATTACCATAACTTAATCATAATTCTTAAAACTTTTTGTCAAATTATTTGTCAGAGCTGTTAGTCTCTCTAGCTGCCAGAGCTCTCTCTGCTTATATAGCTAATTATATATTTTTTCATAAGCTTTAGAGCAGATATATATAAAGGAAATGTCTAGATCTTTACACTAAAATGATAAAAAATGGAATTTTGCTGCTGAAATTTGAAGATTAGCAGCTGAAGTCTATCGATTATGAAATTTCAGCAAATCACAGCATAAAGATCCCAGCATAGCACACACCCACACAGACACACAAAATTCACTTTGATAATGACCTGCACTTTTGTGGAACACATTTAAAAACTATTAAGCATTATCTTGTCGGCGCTTTTGTGAATTATTTTTCCATGCTCTTTTCTTTTGGTCAATCTTTGTGGTATTTGATCGACTTCATTCATTTCTATTGGTAGCCGCAGTACAAGGTCGCCACGTAATAAATTTCAAATGCAGTTCTTTTGTGCCCAGCCAGCCATGGGAATAATAATACGAAGAGCAATTGTTAAATTGCTGTCGAAGTTTTCGTGCCCCAATGGATTGCTTGTTATAATTTATACTTAATTATTTTAATTTATAACTTGGTTGATTTGGCTACCTGAACGAACTGATACAATATAGCATTTCCTTTTCGCTGCCAGAAGTGGACACAGGCAGCGAACTTGTTTAGCTGTTTGCATATATTACAAAACAACGAGCAACAAATTTGCCACTCAATCAACAGCAGAGACAACAAAAGTAGCAGCAACAGCAGCAGCAACTGGGCAACGCACACAAATTGCTTTAATTGCAACAAATTTTGCGAGCACTCGACGTCTGCTGGAGCTCGCTTCTGTGTGTATGTCTATGGTAGGCGACTAGCCAGCCAGGTTGCCATGCAACAATTGTTAGAGTCAAGCACCCGCATCAAGAAATATGCCCAAGCTTCAAGTGTTTGCAATTCCCACCACTCAACGCCCAACACCCAATCGCAGACAGCATCCAACCTCATGAGAGACTCGATTTGCGTTTATGTTCAAGCTTTCAGGTTGATCGTTTCCACGAATCCGCTCGTTGCTTCTGAACTTCTAGCTCTATGCATTTCGCAGACCGGATCTAATGTGAAACACGACGCTAGAATTGCCGCAATGAAAAGGAAACGAGCAATATGGCAAAACTCTAATACCAATATGAGCCAGAGCAACAGCAACAACAATAAACACGTTTGTAATTGTCTTCATGCCCGGTCGTCTAGCCCCCACACACAGCACACACTGTCCGAGGCAGACACAGTGGTTGTAAAGTAATTTCTGTATATGCTAATGTAAGCGAACAGTTAAGATGCTCTAAAACACAAATCTTGCTTAACGAAAATTAAAAATCTACTTAAATTTAGTACGGTTTAAGTCTGTAAAAACAAAGCATATGCCTAGCTGGAGGTCAGCAATGTGCCTGACTCAGTCACAAATCAGTCAATGATTTGGGTGAATAGAAGGAAGCTCTTTAAAATCAATTTAAGCTTGAATAATTTCAAGCTATTTCAATTAAGTTTGCCTCAATGAGCATATTTCATGTATATCAAATATTGTATATCAAATATTGTATATCATATATTGTATATCAAATATTTCTTACACAAGAATGTTTGTATTCAAATAGAAAATATTTAGGAGAGTTAAGTTTTAGTTACACTTATTCTACCACAACTGACGAATGTTCATTAAAGTGCAATGCAGAGCGAAGCCAAGATACAAACCACATTAACAGCAGCAGTTACAGCAGCAGCAGCAGCAGCAACTTAAGTCTGACTGAACTTCACTCTCGTTTTCACAAAAGACATAAAATAATTGCCAGTCAGCGACGGCGCTGACGTCGCTATACTTGTTGTTGTTGTTGTAGTTGTTGCTGTTGTAGCAACTTCTTAAGCTTCAATTGTTGCTGCCGCTGCTGCCGCTGCTGTTGACCGCTCGTTAAGTCGTTCGTTCGGCTCTCGGTTTAATCGTGTGGCGTTTGGCCTGCTCGCTCGGGCGTTGTCTTTGTATATAAGAGCGGCTTGCTTCTTGGTTCTAGTTATCAGTTGAATCCAGCTCAACATATCGCACACACGCGTCTCTAACAACCCAACAAAAACCGCCAACTCTAAAATCCTTAAAATGGCTTTCTTCAAAGTGAGTGCGAGCGAGCAACATTGTGTCTAGTGTCTGCATTATAATAATTGTGTTCCATTTTTGTGACAGTCTCTGATCTGCCTGGCTGTCGTTAGCGTTGCAGCCGCCGGTGTCCTCCATAGCGGCCCCGGTCTCTATGCCGCCGCTCCTGCTCTGGGTTATGCTGGCCATGGACATCCTGATGAGGGTCTGGATTATCATGTAAGTGCTTTGCAGCAGCTGTAACTGAAGCTGAGTGGCTGGGGGATCTGTGATGCTGCCATTTAGTGCGAGTTGTCTCAGCGTTGACACCAAATCTTGTTTCTCTTTCTCATCGCTTGGTAGGCCTATCCCAAGTATCACTACAACTATGGTGTCGCTGACTCCCATACCGGTGATGTGAAGTCGCAGCATGAGGTGCGTGATGGTGATGTTGTCAAGGGCTCGTACTCTCTGGTGGAGCCTGATGGTTCCGTGCGCACCGTGGAGTACACCGCCGACGATCACAATGGCTTCAACGCAGTCGTTCACAAAAGTGCACCCACTGTCCATGCTGCGCCCGCTATCCACGCTGCCCCACTGGTTGCCCACGCTCCTGCCATCGCTAGCCATGTGTCTGCCGCTCCAGCTGTGGCCTATGGTGGCTCTGTGGCGCATCAATACGCCGCTGTGCCCGCTTACGGCTATGCCACCCACAATGCACATGCGCATGTCTCCCACTACTAAGCGATCTACTTGGAACAACAATCTACCGCCCCACCTGCCCGCAACCCATACGTCACGCCCATACTTTCATATTTATTAAACACACGCTGACACGGCCAACCCATTGTAAATTAGCTTCCAGCATCACCTGCTCAATACTCAAGTCACTCTGTAGATAACTGCGAAACCATCCGATTGCATCCCTCTTGTTCGTCTCTGTCTCACGCATACACCCATACACACTCACATACCACGAGCCACGCCATTGCATAAACGAAAGATGATCATGAAGTCGAAGATGATGATGAACAGAAGAACTCCGCATGGAATATACATACACAAATATAAATTGGGAATTTATATTTTGTAACATGTCTCATACTTACTTAAACTTTAATTGAAACTGCGATAAAATGCTATAAATATAAAATGTAGTGAATTACAAAAATCCAAAGCAACAACTTTTACTTTCCCATCAGACACACAAATATATTTATATATATATATACATATATATATAAACATAATAATAGCTTCAGTTAGTTCTCAGCATGTTCGTACTTGACTTTTAATTGTTCATCATTTACATAAGTCAGCTAAGCTAGCTAAGATGCGATAATTGCGCAGCTCATGATCATAATCATGATCATATGATTGACAATTATGGGTTAGCTAATTTATAGGTAGTTATCAAAAGGTGAACGTATAGAAATAACCTAGAGCTATTAGTATTACTAAGCACTTTGAAAGGAGGAATAAATTGAGAATCTAATTGATAGAATTTTCAATTATTATAAATATAAATTAATAGATGATTAGAGATCTCTTTAGGTTAAAATTTCTGTTAAATATTAAAAAAAAAAACTCATAAATAAATTAAGTTAGGAATATATTGAATTTATATAGACTCATATACCTGACTTCTCTTTTCTCATAGACATAAACGATAGATAACCTTTAGGTTAACCAAAAAACCAAAGGTCATCTTGAACAAGTCAGCTCTTAAGAAAATCTTACATTAAGAACTTCTGCTATGTCGATCAGGAATGTTGCTATTTGGAAAAGTTTTATGGCCACTAAATTAAATATTTATATTCAGTCTACTTTTACGCCAAATAGTTTTATATTTAACTTACAATCTACTTTTAGGCTAATTTGTGGATTTTGTCTTTTAAATATTTATGTTCCACACTTTACAAAATGTAATTAAGTATACGTAGTAACTCACACTAGAGCTGAGCATACACCGAGTAAAAATTTCATTGCCTACTTTCAGGCGGCAACTTTTATTACCAGCGCTCACTTCATGTAACGCAATTCAAGCCGTTACTTCTTTCGCAGTGCAACTTAAGGCACATCTCTTGATTAAATTCTTCAAGCAGTCAACAAATTAAGTCAGTTTAAAATCAAGTATACGTAATTGCAATTAATTAAAAATTAAGTATACGTAAAAAGCTCAAGGTAATTCGTAGAGAAAATTCCATTGCCTACTTTCAGGCTTCAACTTTTATTGCCAACTCATATTTAGTTTTGCAATTTAAACAACTAATTTGTTAATACTACTCAATAAAATCTGCAGTAAGGTAAAGAATGACTTCAGTAATGCCTTTATGATTGTGCTTAGGTATCTCATATATAGAGATAAGATAAAATTAGATCTTAAATGCACTTGCATTGCCTGGCAGCGATGCAGTTGTGTTCGAAGATGCTGTGCGTGTGGCTGCTGTTGCTGGCTTTGAGTGTCCTGGATTGCCAGGCCGATTGTAATGTGTGCTCCGTATCCTCCAATGTGGCCTGCGTGTCGGAGACACAGTTCATGTTCTGCGAAAATAATTTACCCGTTCAGCCAGTGAATAGCTGTCCGTCGGGACTGTTCTGCACGGCTCAGGGTTCAATTTGCCAGAGCGACAACACGTTAACATCGTGCTCTGGCTGTGGCAAATGCAACGACGCAGGTAGCTTTGCCTGCATGGGTGTTCGTACGTTCATCCTGTGCCTCGGCTCGAACCAGCTATCGCAAATCTCAGGCAGCTGTGCACCAAACTATGTGTGCAACATGGACAATCCCAACATTTGCGGCACTGCATCGAATGGCTTCCAAGCCACCTGCCCCCTCGTCGATGATGAGCTGTCAACCACAATAGTTCCGGGCGGTAATATCGATGCGAATACTTATTGCAGATATATCCAGCAGGCTGGACGCTTTCCCTATGGCAGTACGCTCGAAACCACCTGCAAACAGTGCGTATTATGATCTAACTCCGATTCATTTAGTCGACTTCAATTTCTACGTTTAGATACATTTATTGTTTTATGAACGGCACCATTTGGTACGGGGGCCTCTACAACTGCCCGGGAAGTACATATTTCCAGCCCAGCGCGCATTTGTGCAACACCTCAATTCCAACAACCTGCACCTCAGCTGTGCGCAGCTTGCAACTGCTGAATTTGCGATTGCCCTAAATGAGAATAAACCAATCGATGCCAGCTGAATGGAGGTCAGCTAATGAACTATTTGTTCATTAAAAGATCAAATATTGTTTGTATTTAGTCTTATAAATATAGCCTCAGCACTCGCTTAATGACTTATTCTTAGCCAGCTAATGAGTTCTTTAGGCCACTTTATTAATAGGTATTATTCATAATTCTTCGCCTTGGCTAAAGTGTATCTATAATGCTTAAGAGATCTTAACACGCTTCAATATGCCATTTGCTTGCCTGACAATATAAATCACTGCGAAAAAAGCGTTTAGCGGGCAAAAAGCAAACGCCTACAGCGAGATTAACACATTGTCAGACTTTATATATATCTATATATATATGAATACTATATCAATCCTAAAAATAAGCGCATTAGGCGTTGTCGTCCACAGGCTGAGGCCTAAAATTAAATTCAACGCGAATATTTTTTTTAACTTTTTTGTGTGCGCAGACCGCAAACGAATGCCACATGGGGCATGCCCCGCCCTAGTCAATTGAAATGCGCATTGTGCACGTGTAGCTGGAGCCAAACTATGTTGATGCGTGTTTGGCTGCGGGCTATTGGGTTTCGCATTCGAGGCGTGTGAAATCGAAACCATCGAAATTGAAAACACTCAATGAAAAGTTTTGCGGCTCAGCCTTGGATTGAATTGCATTTCCCTAGCCAGGCCCAGACCCAGCTAGACCCCGACCAAACTTCTGCGGCCCCTGTGGCCACGTAACTGACCCACATCAACTGCAACAGAGTGCAAGAGAGGAAGCCAACTTACTCGCTCTGTCTCTCTCTCTCTCCCTTTCTCTCTCTGCTGCCAAACAATTTTTATGGCATGTGGCAAAAAAGTTTTGCCTGAACCTCACACAAAAAAAATATTGAGAGCACATTTCATAATTGTGCACGAGCAAGCTGCTTGTTGGGGCAGGGCCAAAAGTTTCCAGGGCCAGGCTAGGCCAGGCCAGGGCAGGCCAGCACAATTTTCAAGGTGCAGCGCGGCAAACGCGGCGTATGCGTCATAAATGCCATAACATGCAGTCGCTTGTCGCCTAGCAGGAGCCCAGCCAAAATTCTAAAGGAATACAATTAAGCGAAAATGGAAAATTTTAGTGGGAAATTCCTTTCGCGTGCTGCTCATGAATTGAATACTGCAAGCGAAAGGGCGAAAGTTTTATTTATGTTCAATCGAGTTAAATCTGGGAAGCTGCGACTTTTGTGACTGTGTGTTTGTAAATATGAATATATGTGTGTGTAAGTGTATGCTGGAATAATGCTTTGGTCTTTTTTACCATATAAGCAACCTCAACAAATTGCTAAATTAATGCTCTATGCGACTTTCAAAGATTTAGATCTGAGATTTGGCTGACTTTATTAGAAGTGCAGATACGAGTTAAGAAGGAATCCTTTTCTCATTCTCTCTTTATATGCATTTTTCTCACTTCCTCTCTGTCTCTTCCTTTCCCTCTGTCACTCCCTGTATCTGGCTTTCAATCTTTAAAGCTCTTTCTCTCTGCATTTATTCTCTCTTTATGAATCCCGCTCAATCTCCTCTTTTTTGAAAATTAAATATATATTTTTTATTTCATCAAATGCAATTCAAAATGTAGCGCATCGCCACGCCCACTTGAGCGATTCGTACATGGCTCAATATCAGTTAAAGTGTTTTAGTTTTAGCCAACTTTATGTGCTTTTGCCAGATAGATAACTGGGCCTTAGCTATGAACAGCCGTCAGCCCACACACTAGACTGCACTCAGCGCTGATGAATTCATTAATTATATTTTTTATACCCTGAACCCATTGAAAATGGGCAATCAGGGTATAATGGTTTTGATAAAATGTATATAACAAACAGGAGGGGGCTTGGCAGACTACAAAAAGTATATACATATATAATATATATATATATTATATATATAAATATATTTAATATATTAAAAATTAATGAATAACAAGCACATGGATAAATGTTTGCTAAATAGTCTATTTATGTATTACAAAAAGAAAAATTAGGAAAATTTTCTTCCTTTAAAAATTTCAAAAATGTCTAAAATAAATAAAAGAATAAAAAATCAGAATAAAAATTAAAAATAAAAAATTTAAAGTAATTTTTATATTTATATATGTATACCTATATAAAATATTTATATATACCTATATTAAAGAAATATTTATATATACCTTTAAGAATTATTTATTTAGGTATCTCCTAGTCAGGCAACCAGAGTAGAGCTTTTTTACTTATTTCTAATAGACTCCGTCAGTTGCTCAGATGTGGATGTCCTTCGTCGTTAGAGCCGTGCCGTCTGGACTAATTAAATTACATGCCTAGAGTCCAACTCCAGCTGGCTGCCAAATTCGATTAATGCCTGTCATAATCTTAAAGTTATATAATAATAAAATAATAAAATAAAATAATATATAGCTACATGTGAGGCTGCTGCTTGAGTAAAGTTATGAACTGCTCCTCAAGCTCTATCTCGGATGCCTTGTTCGGAGCTTTCATTGTTTTTATATTTCTGTTATCATTAGCTTGTGAAACTTAAATGTGTGTGAGTGTCACTATGTTGAGACTATTAAATGCAGGCACCGCTCTGGCTCAGTATGTAAGCCACGACAAGAACAACTACAACAAACAAGAGCCTTAGATCCAAGGCAGCCTTCGAGCTATCAACTGTCATATTCTCCTGGCTTAAAGCAACACTGCTCCCTCTCTCTATCTATATACTATTTGATTGTAGAATGAGGGCAACAGCAGCAGAGGGAGAGAGAGAGAGAGAGAGTCTTTAAATAGTTGCAGACAACCCGCTGTTTTGCATATGAACATTTCTGGGCCAGTTGGTGGTGCGGGTGGTGCCACAATATGCTCTATTCGACTATTTCCCCTTCGCTAGGCACTGCGTTTAATTAAAGTTCTATTTTCATTTGTTGTTTTGGCTTTGGGCAACAAAAAATGTGAGAGTGGCGCCTGCCTGGGCGGCCCATCACAGCCACCCGGAGCCACCACCCGCCCCCGCCCACTGCTTTGACCACCTGCCGGGCAGCGCTGCCCCGCTGCAACTGTCGTTGGCGGCCGCAATTAATTTACTTCGCTTCGTTTTATTCATTGCGCCAACTTTATAAACAATCCCCAAATGGCCAAAAGCCTTCTGCCGCTGCTGCTGCTGCTGGTGTTGGTGCTGCTGGTTTGTTTATGCATCAATTGGGTTAATCACTTGAACAGTGCATTAGATGGGAGTTTAGTTATGTTTACTTCTGTTTCCTCTCGCCATTAGCCAGAGAGATCGAAAGTTTATACTATGGACATGGAAAGTTGTATTTTAGTGCGGATTAAAATGCATGCTTCTGGCATGAAATGGAATTTATGCTGTTTATCAATAGAAATATTGGAATTAATGCCGGAAGGAAAATAATCGCTTCAAATAATTTTCATTTTCACAGTTCATAGCTTCTGAATAATTCATTGTTGTTGTATTGTTTTTAACATTTTTATTATTAGTAATAGGGTTCGTATAGGTGTTACTATAAGTATTAGCATTAGTATAAGAATAAGTAAGTATAAGTATGTGTTACTATCAGTATAAGTGTAAGTTTTTGTATAAGTTGTAGTATTAGTATTATTGTAGTATAAGTATTAATATAAGATTCAGTATAAGTAAAGGTGCTACTATAAGTATTAGTGTAAGTATTAATATAGGTATAACTATAAGAATAAGTATAAGTATAAGTATAAGAAAAAGTATAAGTATAAGTATAAGTATAAGAATAAGAATAAGAATAAGTACTAGTATAAGTATAAGAATAAGTAATAGTATAAGTATTAATATAAGCATTAGTATACGTATTAGTATAAGTATAAATGCTAGTATAAGTATTCGTGCAAGTATTAGTATAAGTATTAGTATAGGTATAAGTATAAGTATAAGAATAAGTATTAGTAGAAGTATAAGAATAAATAATAGTATAAGTATTACTATAAGCATTAGTATAATCATTAGTATAAGTATAAGTGTAACTGCTAGTATAAGTATTAGTGTAAGTATTAGTATAAGTATTAGTATAGGTATAAGTATAAGAATAAGTATAAGTATAAGTATAAGAATAAGTAATAGTATAAGTATTAATATAAGCATTAGTATAATCATTAGTATAAATATAAGTATGAGTATAAAAATTGATATAAGTATTAATATAAGAAGCGCTTTGAGTAGTCTCATTAGAAGTAGTCAAATTTATTATATAATTAGTTATATAAATAGTTGTATAACTTCTATCATACTTTACCTTCAAGTGTTAGCACGTGAATATGAATACTACTGCGATATTACGTCCATTTCCATCCTGGAAATACTCGCGTATTCTTACCCATATCTCATTATTCAAATACAACTTTCAACTGCTGCCCCTCAGGTCTATTTAGCACCTGATATGTGTAAACAGTCTGAACCTTTAATTATAAAGGTGTCAAAATTAGAACACGGCTTAATAGCCGCCTATAGCGAGGCCCAATACAGCAATAACAATGGCAACCAGAGGGTAGAGGGTTTCAGCCTGGGCGGCAGGTCAAGTACACGAGCATGTCAAAAAGTTTTGACGCAGTTATGTGTGTGTTGGGGTCAACGGAGGCGCTGCCGCCCATCAGAAAGCCAAACACTCACTATTATTATTCTATAGTGCGGCATTGTTGTGGCATGTGAACTCACCGAGGTCTACGCCCACAAGAATGCAACAGCAGAGAATGCCTGGCATGTGTTGGCCGACCTGTGCAGGTTGCCTGCACCAGGTGCAAGAAAGGAAGGAAGGAAGGCTGTACGGTATGTAAGGAGGGACGGAGGATGAAGTCAACAGGAAATGCGCATAATGAAGCGCTGTGGAAAATGTGCTAGCATGTGGCACCGTATGGCAAAGGACAGTGACTGACTGACAGAATGTCAGACAGACGGACTGACTGACTGACTGACTGGTTGACTGGTTGACTTATTGATGTGCAGACTGATAAACTGATATGCAGAGACTGCCGCTCATACTGCGGCATGCGGCTGCATCCTGTCAACAGCTCGGCGCAAACTCTAATGATTGCGGCTATTGTTAAAAAATTGAAGAGCTTGCCACAAATTGCGGCCT